GTTGGGATTAGGAATCTTTTCTAAGGGTGCTGTTGGCCCAGTAAAACGGATTTGTCCAGGAGACATTAGATGGAAGCGGAACTCCTATTAAGGATATTCCGTGGCTGTAATATTTAGGCATCTGGGTGCAGATGCCCAACAATCACTCTTATGTAAGATTTGGGTGATGTTTTGGACTAGGGAGAAGTGTAGATTTTGATTCCATCCTTCTACCTGATTGACATGGCTCAGGACTGTTATTATCACGAGTAGTGTCCAATTGATCATAATGTCCTCTTTATTTTTATCTTAAGGGGTGATTGTGGTTCCACAGTCCATGATGCAGGGGCCTTCTTGATCCTTGACTAATGAATCCCCGCGGGCTGCTCTTTGATCTTGATTGCGGTGAAGGTTGCTAACAGCACTTGAAACGGTCCATTCCACTTCTCTTCCAAGGGTTTACCTGTGAAATTCTTAACATAAACCCATTCTCCGGGTTTAAAAGAATGTATGGGTCGATCTAATCCTCTAACTTGTGTTGCTAGAATAGTTTGTTCAATTATATTTAACTGTCTCTGTAAACTATTTAGGTACTGATACAGGTATCCTTCACCAAGCTGGGTAAGATCCTCCCCTGAATATTGCAATTGGTATGGCCTCCCATATAAAATTTCAAAGGGGCTCATATTTTCCTTCGATCTCGGTTTTGTCCACATTCTTAGTAGGGCTAATGGGAGGGCTTGATTCCATTGCAAGTTTGTCTCTTGACAAATCTTAGCTAGCTGTTGTTTGAGTCAATGGTTCATTTTTCCGCTTGGCCACTAGCTTGTGGTCTGTGAGGGGTGTGTAATTGCCAATCAGTTCCTGAGATTTTACTGATTTTTGTTACTACTTTAGCACAAAAGTGAGTTTTTGCACAAAAGTGAGTACCTCTATCTGAGGATATTGTTGCGGGTACCCCAAATCGTGGTATCACTTCATTTAGTAACGTTTTTGTTACCTCTCTAGCCTTGTTGGTTCTACAGGGAAACGTCTCTGGCCCGCCTGAGAAGGTATCCGTTAACACCAATACATATCTGTATCTCCCTTTTCTGGGGAGTTCGGAAAAGTCTATTTGCCAATGTTGGCCTGGACTCTTACCTTTTCCTGTTACACCCATCTGAATCTTGTTTGAGGTATTCGGGTTATTCTTTAAACAAATTTCGCACCTTTGGGTTACTTGTTTCACAGTGGTGTACAAATTTCGACTTGCCAGTTTCTGGTTTAATTGTTTATATAAAGCATCTGTACCCCAATGTGTTTTCTTATGTTCATCTAAAACTAATTTCCATAACAAATTAGAGGGTACTATTATTCGT